AAAATGAAGGCTGGAAAACTGCAGAGATTATATTGACATTTTTAGCAAGCTGCAGAAAGAACCTAATATCACTTATGATGCAATTAATAGAAAAATGATTTAATTAAATTAACAAAAACAGGATCAACACTGAGGTGAGAGAGGACTGAAACAAGCTGCGATTTAATTTATTCCAGAAGCAGGAAAGTCCTCCAGAGGAGAGCAGAGCGTGTTTGTACCTGTGCAATGCCGATGGAGAAGGCGCTGGGCGACAGCAGGCACAGAAGCCACACCAGCGGCTGCGGGAAATCCTTCACGAGGACGGTGAAGAGCGACAAGCAGCCAAACACCACCGTCAGCATGGATCCCACCGTGCTGGCGAACTTGGGCTTCTTAAACAGCGGAGTCAGCATGAAGGAGAAGAAGATCTGTGGAACAGAGTCAGGATATGGATGAGAGGAACGAACGTTCACTACTAACAACAAAGGCTGGAATCAAATAGCCACAGCTATGTTTTATTTCTTTATTTCTTAGCTTTCCCTCCATCCCAGCTCTACTCACTGATGATATTCCATACAGGAATATGAGGAAAAAGATGACGAGGAAGTTGCTGTTAGGAAACAACGCTGTGTACGTCGCGATGATGGCCATCAGGATGGACATGGTGGTCACCAGAGCAGCGTACAGGAGGCCCCACGATAACCTGTCAAACCACACGTGCACACGAACGTGAGTTTCTTTGGTCCGAGCGTCCGAATGTGCAGCGGCCGAAGCCGTTTCTCCTCACCAGAAGGCTGTGTCGTAAAGCCCCATCATGGTCATGGTGTCTTTGAGACGATGCTCCTTCTCAGCCGCCACGTTGACGATGAGGAAGGTGACGAAGGGCGTGAACGCCAGGACCAGGTAGATGGAGATGAGGGCGTGGGGGAACTTCTGAACCTCCACAGAGCCGGGCTGACCCATCATCACCGCCTTCAGTTCGAGCTCGCTCAACACTGAACGTTTTGTCTGCATCTGAGCACAAAAGATGATGAAAGAGTTTAAAATCCACGTGTGAAAAACGCAGTTCAAATGTCCCAAATTCAACAAGACCAAACAGAAGACGGGCACAAGCTTGCAGCAAAAAAAAAGTGTCTGCTGTAATAAATAACTAAAGTCCCACCATATAACGTATCTGTGGTTAACACACGGTAGCAGCTGAGCTTCAGCCGGTCTCACCTGGATAATGGCTGCGTCGATCAGAGACTGGAGGTGAATGAAGCCGGAGTACCAGTAATTTGCAGCCCTGCAGTTTACCGAGCTCGACAAGCAGCTGGCTGCAGGAGACAAAGCAACGACAGCAATCAATCAAAATGTATTTGTAAAGGACCTTTGTTAAAGGTGATTCAATATAATATAAATCAGAACAAATAATATACAATGACCATCAATATAGAGTAGATTAGAAAGATGAAACATCACAGCAATAAAATAACATTTAAACTAGCTTTTCAATAAAATAATACAAGGAAAGATTAATCACAAGTAAATGATCTAAAAATCTAATATAGTAAAAATAGAATAAATACACTTTAAGTCCAAAAAACTAAAGTAAATGTGTAAGAATCAATATAAATCCAGGCTAAAAGTCTGAAGATTTCAACACTTCTGTTTTAAATTTGAT